ATCATATACACAGATTTCAGTAAAGCCTTTGACAAATTGTCACATAAATTGTTGCTTTCTAAACTTCATCAATATGGTGTCAATGGCATTTTACTTTCTTGGTTTAAAAGTTACCTTAGTGGTCGATCCCAGAGAGTGACCCTTTGAAGGCGAAACATCAAATCTACTTCCTGTTCTCTCTGGGGTGTCACAAGGTTCAATTTTAGGCCCCCTTTTGTTCAATATTTTCGTAAACGATATACATAGCCTTTTTGAAAATTCCAGCTGCCTTATGTTTGCAGATATCACCTCAAGATATATAAAATAATTTCCAGAATTGAGGACTCGCATGCACTCCAGGCCGACCTTGACAAACTCGGACATTGGGTTACCAATTAGAAAATGTCGCTGAAGTCTGAGAAATGCAAAGTACTCTCTTGTACACTTAAAACTAAACCAATTAATTTTAAATACATGATTTACGAGGTACTTGAAAATGTTGAATGGCATAGAGACTTAGGCATTTTTATTGACAAAAAACTAACGTTTGCTTTTCATGTTGACCATGTCTTTGGCAAGGCCAACAGGTTACTTGGGCTCATGTGGCGCAATTGTCATAAATTTCCCTCCAACCACAAAAATTGCACTTTATAAATCCCTTGTCCAACCTTTATTTGATTTTTGTTCAGTTATCTATAATTCCATATCTGACACACAATCATCTAGAATTGAAAGAATCCATGGTAAGTTTTTACGTTTTCTTGGCCCAGAAACCTGTTGGCCTTGCCAAACTCCTATTATTTCTCCAAAAATTAAAAGACAAATTAATGACCTACTTTTTTTATATAAGTGTTTAAATTCAATGTTTACCTGTAATATTGCTTCTAATTTCTATCTTAATGTTCCTGTTTGTAGACTTCGTTCTAAGCCTATTTTAAATGTACAATTCTCACGTGTTAATGTTTGTAAAAATGGTATTTTTTGTAGACTGTCTTCGTTTTATAATAATTGTGTTTGTAGTAATCCTGAATTTGATATTTTTCATTGTAGTTTCTCTAAGTTTAAGTCTATCACATTTGAGTCTGTAAAATAATCTTATTATATTTTAAAATAACTTTAGGTTTTCCATTGATATTGTGTAAGTTTTTATATTTTATATTTTATATTTTCATCCTGAAATTGGTGTATACACTGTTGGATGTGCAATAAATAAATAAAAAAAATAAAAATAAAAATAAATAAATTTTTACACCTGTAATTGTTTTGCTTGTTAATGATTCCTTTTCTACTGGTGTTTCCAGAATATTCTTCGTGAAGCCGTGATTATTCCTCATATCAAAAAACGTAATCTTAATAAAGACGTGTTAAGCAATTACCGTCCCGTGTCAAATCTTCCCACCCTTTCCAAGATTCTTGAATGCATTGCAATCTCAATATTTAATTGCTATTTTCAGTCAGAAGGCATTTCTGATAAATTTCAATCCGCCTACAAGTCGGCCCATAGTACAGAAACTGCCCTTCTTCGGATTAAAAATGATATTGTTAAGGAAGTAAGCCTTGGTAGGGAAGTTATGCTTGTTTTAATTGATTTGTCTGCAGCCTTTGATACCATTGACCACGAAATTCTCATAAATAGGTTACAAAATGAATATGGTATCGGAGGCTGCGTGCTAGATTGGGTTAATTCGTACCTGAGGGATCGTAATACTAGAGTGTGTATTTCTGGTAACTTCTCTAAAGTCTATCCGCTTCAATTTGGCGTCCCCCAGGGATCAGTCGCTGGTCCATCGATCTTTACTGCATACTCAAAGCCAGTCAGTGATATTATCAAGCGTTGTAATGTTTCCTATCACATATATGCTGTATATGTTAGTTATGATCCTAAGGTACTCAGGGATAGGGATACTGCACAATGTCAATTAACAAAGTGTATTGATGAGGTTAAAATCTGGATGCTTGAAAACAAACTTAGGCTTAATGACGAAAAAACTGAATTCTTTCTTATTTCGTCCCAAAGGAAAATCAATTCTATTAAAAAATTTAAATTAAAGATTGGTGAATTTTCAATTGCCCCCTCGTCATCAATTAGGAACCTTGGGGTGTTTTTGATCCCTGTCTTAAAATAGTTTTGTCTTTATGTCGGTCGGTTAATTTTCATTTATGAAATATCTCATGTATTAGATGTTTCAATGACCAAAATACCTGTGCACATGCAGTACGATTACTGATTCTTTCTCGGTTGGATTACGGAAACTCCTTACTTGGTGGAATTTCACGTTCTAATGTACAGCGTCTCCAAAAA